AGGAAGGAAGGAAGGAAGGAAGGAAGGAAGGAAGGAAGGAAAGAAAAGAAAGAGGAAGGAAGGAGAGAGGGAGGGAGGAAGGGGAAACTGATGACCTTATGCTTTATGTTAAACTTTACATGATATTTGTGGCCATGAGATGACATATTATTTTTCTCTACATGAGTTTCTCCCATAAAATTGTAAGCTCCTTTAGGAAAGGTGAAATATATTATTTAGGTTTATATCACTAATCTTTAGAAGAGTGTCTGTGGCCCACTGGGCACTAAATAAACAAGGATTGAAGAATTGATCTTGGCCAGGCAGCGTTACTATCAGTTCTTCATTCCTGCCCACTTGATTTCAGCCACAAGTGCTTTATTTGCATCATATTCTCCCAGGCTATAGGATGAGCACTGGTGATGATCATCAGAATCTTCTCTAAGGACAATTGCTCGGCCAAAATATAGAATGTGTTTATTTCAGAAGCAGGTGCAAAGGAGAGCATGATCATTTGATATGAGATATAGGTCAGTGATTCTCAAACTAGAATGTCTCCAATTGCTGTTGTCATTTAATATAATTACGTTTAGTTTCAATTAACTTTAAAATACTGTATGGCATAAAATGCTTATGTTAAGGAGTGATGTTACAAAATTAAGTCAAATAATAAATTTGAAATTAATTTGCATCTAAACATCTTATGCACTAATATTACAAAAAGCAAATTTGGACATTTTACAAACATTTTCCAGAATTGTTACAACATTAGAGGTACGTAGAGTCTCTTGTAATATGAATATAGTGGTGTTTGACCACATGCATTTAAGAAGTCAAAAATCCCCATGGAAATTCACTTCATAAAATCAACATCCTGCAATGACCTATACTTTTCCAGATCCTTCATCCAAATCCTCAGCAGCTGAGCTCATTCTGAATGAAAATGCACAAAAAGGATTACCAAGAAAATGTAACAGAAATTGGCAAAATAGATAGCTGATATTTGCAATATAGATATATAGTTTTAAAGAGAGCAGTCTGATGAGGAGACTGATAGGGAAAAATCAAGTCTTTTACAAAGACATCTATAACTTATAGGATGGATTCTAGTCAATTCAGATGATTTAGAAAATGAGGCCAATATGCTCAGATGCGACTGACAGTAATCTGGTATTCCCTCTTCTTAATTATCTGTTTAGGCTTTAGATCATGGAGGCAGATTTTAACTATAGAGCATATAAATAGTATTTAAATAGGAAGTGTGAATAACGAAGTTTGGAGAGAGAAAATTTTTAAAAATCTATCAGATCACAGGATATGGAATGAGCCCTGAAAATGTAGAGATGATGGTCATAAGGATGATTAGGAAGTTTTGTCTTAAAAAAATATAGAAACTATACGTTCACAGGAATGATTTGGAAATGTCCAAAGAACCTAGATGAGCAGGACAGAAGGAGTTTTAATGCTTTCATGTGTTCAATCTACCTAATTTACAATCTCTCTTAGCAACTAGGTGGTTCAGAACTTGTTGAACTGTCTTCCTTTGACATTATGAAAACACTCACCTATTTGCCAAGGTTGAGTGAAATAAATTAATATTATGGTAAAGTCCTAAGGGTAAAACTTTTATGTAATCTGTCCCCCAAGGAGTTAATAAAACTCAATTTTTTTTTAGTTAAAGAAATGAATCCAGAATTTAGTCTCAAATGTAAATGTGGCTTAGGAATGACACAGTAATACCACTTGGCATTTCTTAAGTTAGCCTGCTCTCTCTACACTGGATAAAAATAAAGAAAAGAAAGCATCTAAAACAGAACCGCCCTATTACAACCCAAATTTGCCCATGAAAGCAGAAATTTTCTGGCCTGCATCTATGCGTTTTTTCCACTTTCCGTAGCCTCCCACACTATAATGACTTATGCATGGAATTCGGGGACTTTATATTTTCTTTTGAGTACAAAACGAATGCCAACATGGAAAATGTGCAGGCTGACCATTTTCAAATGGTCACAGACCTTTGAGGGAACCTGATAGTATCCAGAAAGATATTTGGTCAGCTAGGGTACCAAATTCTAGCACATTCCTTAACTCCGCTGGTCTTCACAGGATGGGACTATTTACCTTTCTGGCAAGTGCTTAGTCAGAATAGTTTGAAATTTTTGGTAGGGACTCAGAATCTTTTTCAATAGACTGAAGTGACCCAAAACCAGCACAGCAGTTAATCTTGTTTATGGCCGAAATCAATAAGCCAATCCATGTTATGTGCTGACAGTTCTTGTGTGGAGGAAAAACTAGAAGTGTCTGCTCTTTTGAACGGGATTTTTCTTTTATGGTCCAATAATTTGGTTTCATTATGGGACAACATTTGGGTTAGTCATTTTTTGTAAAGTTCAGTTTACATTGGTATAATTTGTTTCCCTGAACTGAGGGTTTGAATAATTCAGGGCAAAAAGGGGAAGGCTACCTGGAATGTGTTTATATTCTACCTTATCTTAGGCCTGGTTTTCTGGTTTACTTACATTTTTATGGTCAAATTCTAATAGCAGTATACAAACTAAACTCCTTAGAAGCCAAAAAGAATGCGACTGAAATTTCTGAGGAATTGTCCCAATTGTTTTATCATGCTCACATCTTCTTTTTGGTTTGCTGAATTCCTACCTAAGGAGTTTAGATTTTATACATACTAAAGCTAGGTGGAGGGAAGGGGCACGGGTAGAATCTCATTCCATGGAAACAGTGAAGTTTGTTGGCTGTCTAAGTTAGAACCAGGGTCTAGTTTGAATCCTGGCATACTTCCTGGATGTTTGACCTTGGGCAACTTATATAATGTCTTTAAGCTTCAACAAAATGAGCTTGCTAGCTAGTAGTAACAGTGATAGCATGCATAAAAATGTATTTATCCTAAGGCATGGTCAGTGGTCTGCGTTACACTTTCTTATGAATTACGTGTTAATAGGAGCTAAACTAGATTGTTCCATGCTTCTTAGTCACTCCCTGGAGTAAAGTACATCCTGGGAGTTTGGGATCCATGTTAGCTCTTTCACAAACTAAGACATTGCACATGCTGTCTCTATGGCTCAAATTTTGCATGAACGGTTCCCTGGTGGCCTTTGCTGCAATTCAAGCCAAACAGCAAATAGATTTCTATAAGGACTCGTGTTCATAAAAGTAAAGCACAAAAGCATGGAAGCTAAAGCAACAAGTTTCTTCTGGTGAATTTTATTAAGTCCTGCAATGCAAATATGTTCTTAAGGGAGTTTCAAACATTCAGTACTTATATCTTCATTCATTAGTAGGTCAATCAATCCAGCTGCATTTAAAGTGTTGTCATTGTTTTTTGACCAGAAATATTAAATGCGAAATTTTGTTCTAATGTGAGGCGACTTCCTAAAGAAGTAACATCATTAAAGCCATTGAATAGAAGCTTTGTAAGATCTCTTACTTAATCTTTCATAGCACAGATTAAATGCTCTCTTTTCCAACATATATTTTGACTTGAGAATGATGATCCTGAACTATATATATATTTTTACATTTTTTTAATAGGTGGTGAAATGACAAAACTCACTCTCTTCTTCAGTCAGTGCGTATGAAGTCATCTTTCATCAAGTTCCATCTCCTTTAGTCTCATATGGAACGTATCTCTCTAACTGTTGTTAAACTACGATGACATGTCTGTAGCTATCAGAAAGAGAAGCTGGGAAGAACATGTGACCCAATGGATGGGACAGCCTTTTAATTCTGATGATTATAACCCAGCATGTCATCATGGACTAGTAGCTGACAGCTTGCAGGCAAGTATGGAAAAAGATGCATCTTTAAATGTGGATCGTAAAGAGAGGTGTGTTTCACTACCGGACTGCTGCCATGGTTCAGAGCTGAGAGACTTTCCTGGGAGGCCCATGGGTCACATTTCAAAGGAGGTGGATGAAAATGACAGCCACGAAGGTGAAGATCAGTTTCTTTCTCTGGAGGCCAGCACAGAAACACTAGTGCATGTTTCTGATGAGGATACCGATTCCGATCCATATATTACAGATGATAAACAGATGTTAACTGCCCAAGGACAAAAAATATCAGACAAACAGAGCAACAGAGGAGCAGGCTCCTCAGTAAAGATGCTGCCCATCATGGAAGGTCACCCAAGTGATTCCTGGAGAATGGCTGCTGGATCTGACTCAGCACTGGTAGAAGAAAGGGGGGAGAAAAAAGTTGTTGACATTGTAAGTGAAAGCCTGGAGCTTTGTAATGATATAAGCTTAAGTGAAAGAAAAGATGCATCTAATAAGATAAATGCATGTGACTCTTCGAATGTGAAAGATATTGTGCCTGAGAAGCAATTGTTTAATTCTGCTGTAATTGCTCAGCAACGAAGGAAACTTGACTTCCCTAAAGATGAACATGGAAGAAACACCTGCAATGTAGTACAGGGTGAGTTCTCGGCTCTTCCTTGCATGGACAGAGGACTGGCGTTATTAAAAGCAGATTCTGGAAGCTGCCTCCTGCAACCTCCTTCCTGCCCTAGTGGAATGTCAGCTGAAAATGGCCTCAAGAAGAGTGGTTTCTCAGAACATCAAAACAAAAGTCTCCCACAGGTCGGCTCAGGAGATGGCATGCAGTGTTTACACTTAAAGGAAACTCTGGCCACCCAGGAGCCCACAGACAACCCCGTCAGGCTTCGCAAAAGAAAGGTAAGATGCATGCACAGATTATCTGGCTTTGGGGATTTTATAAATATCCTTGTGGCCGTCACTTATTATTTTGCTCAGATTCAAGAGATATGTGATGTTTCTTTTGCCCTATAGTGTAGCTCTATAACTCAAACTGTGACCCAATGGATGGGACAGCCTTTTAATTCTGACGATTATAACCCAGCATGTCATCATGGACATGAAGGTCTTCTTGGAGAAACCTTCAAAACCTGCAAAAATTAAAATATCATAATAACCAATTCATTTCACTAATAGTATTTATAATAGTTTGTGAACACTGTATTCTGGAATATCATGGCATAACCATGATATTATATAAATGTATGAACATTCCCTCAGAATTGATTTTGCTTTCTTTAATTGGGATTAAATAGCCACCAGATAGCTCATAGGTCAAGGCCTATCTGAAGAGTGTTCTCTAGTTTTTAGAAAGAAAGAAAGTCATAGTATTTTCTTTATTTAATGTCAATTATTGGGGCTTATTTCTTCTTCCCTTTAAAAAGTATGTTTTATCATAATTAAAGGGCTACAAATTGCATGTGGAAAAGGACTCCTTTACTATACAAAGGCAACAGTATCTCCTACACCCCTTATGCTGATACTATTTTAAATAATATTCTGGCAGATTTGCCATCAATAGATGTATCAACTTTTCTTTAACTCTTAACCAGAAAGAGCCAATAACTGAAATTATTCTTGATGCAAGGCCCCTTTAACTAATCCTGTAGATGCCATATTCCCCTAAGAAGTTTTCAAGTGAGAGAAGCAAAGATTGGAGTTAAAGGAAGCATGGTTTAGCTAGTAGACTCTTGGCCAAAGTTTGTCTTATCTTTAGGATTTTCTCCAAATTCTTCCAACAGTGTAGTGCTTTACATCCCGATATAAGTACAAATATAATTTCTTCTATAAATCCAACATGGTCATTGGCATTGAAAACTCCCTGCAGATTGGATAACATCCTTCCCCCTCTTATGATATAATATTAATCCATAGTTGCAGTTCTCCTAACACAAAACCAGTGTTCTTAGTTCTGTTCAACTGGGGCTATCTACAATGAGGAAAAAAATCTCTAACACTCTTTGTGGTTAAAAAAAAAAAAAGTCTGGTTTCCATAAACTGTGGTTTTGCTAACAAACTAGATCCGTAGTTTTATCATAAGTTAGTTTAAATGAAGTCAAAGACTTGAAAACAAAGATCAATATGCTTAAACTATATGACAACAGAGCATTCTGTGCTTCTGGCAAACTCTTCCTTCCTTATATATTGTATTAAAATATTAATGCTCCATAAAGTTGTTATGATTGGCATGCTCTGGTCACTTTTTCAGAAATGTCCATTTATCCTATCAAATCTGTTGGGAATGCAATAATGACATAAGAAATTATTAACTGACCTATGACAGAGCTCCCCTAAAATAAGACAAACCCTGCCCAACAGCCGACAGAAACATTAAACATTCCAGGAACATATGCTCACCACTTGGACATTTATATCAATACTAAGAATGCTGGAAAGAATTTGCTCTTGGACATGTCACTATAGCATGGCTACATTATGAGAGCTGTAATTATAATCTATTTACAAGTTCTAACTTAAATATTCTATTTAAAGCATTTCATCATTCTAAAGTGTTATGGCATTGTCTGGTCAAATATTTGCTTTGACTCTATAGCTCATTCGGGATGCTTTGTAATAAACCGATTAAATGCAAAATTTCAAGTTTAGGATTTACTCTGGACAAGTATGATTATGGGAGAAGCCTCAATAATCAAAGTCTGTAGGAATTTCTGTTCTATTTTATACTGAATGAATATTAAAATACCTTTGAATTGGCAACTAGCCATTTTAGAACTCTACCAAAGGAAATAGTAAAACAAATTCATAAAAATATATGGGCAGAGATATTCATCATTATATTGTATGTTACTGACAAAAAAAGAAGCAACCTAAATTTCCATCAATAAAGAATGTTTAATTATTGCTTATCTATAGTTGAAATGCTATATAGCCATTAAAAAATAGAGTGAGGGCTCCTGTGTGGTTCAGTCAGTTAAGCGTCTGCCTTCGGCTCAGGTCATGATCTCAGTGTCCTGGGATCGAGTCCGCATCGGGCTCCCTGCTCAGCGGGGAGCCTGCTTCTCCCTCTCCCTCTGCTGCTCCCCCTGCTTGTGCTCTTACTCTCTCTCTGTCAAATAAATAAAAATAAAATCTTAAAAAAAAAGTTTAAAAAAACCAGAGTGAGATCTGTGTGCATTAACTTAATAATGCTCATGATATAGTGTATGTGGAAAAATGCAGTAGCAGACCACTATGTCTAGCACATACCAACCTTAGAGGACAAAATTTGTGTATATAGATATAAATAGGGACAGGGGTATAAATCTCCCTATATGATTAAATAAGACTATGCAAGTTCTGGCTAAATAGGCATGAAATTGTTAAAAGCAGTTACTTTGAAAGAATAGAATTAAAAGTGTAGAAGCAGGGGATTTTCACCTTTTATCCTATATAATTTTTATAAAAGGTGATAGAATTATAGGTGAAGTAGATACAATGAACAAAAGTACAAAAACAAAATATTAGATGCATAAACTATTTGGAGCATTTTCTGCATGGCACAAAATGACCCCTTAAATAGTTATTATGATTATCATCACTCCTACGAAATGGAAACAAGTATTTATAAAGTTTTTCAAAATACTGACAAGAGTTCCAATCAACTCCTCCATTCCTAATGCCCGTGAAAGTCGTTTAAAAAGAGATAGGCCTTTTGGGGAGACACATAAGCCACATTTTTATGTCTAAGGTGTTAGGTACCAGATGCCGAAAAGAATTTGCTTAATTGTCTATATCTGTAAAACTATTTGTCAGCCATGGTGACAGCTTTAATATTAGTGCATGAAAAGGTGAAGTAGAATATAAGCTAATAAAATTTTAGTGGGAGAACTTTAATCAGCTTACTATCTGATGATCATATGAGTGAAACAAATCCTTCATTGAATTTATGAGCATGATTTTTCTTTGGGGGGGTCATGATATAATCAAGATTCTAAGACTTGGAAAAAAGAAGAAAACTAAAGTAGAGCTTCTAAGAGTGATCCTCAGAAGGTACTGAAATATCATTGTACTTCAGATATACATTATCATTCCTTGAAACCTATAAATCTTGGCAGGCATTCATTGTTTTGCATGATGTATTTTTTTGTTGTTTTCCAGTGTTATTTCTGGCCATCACGGATAGCTACACATATATTTATTAAGAGTCTCAAGTGGAGAGGACTGCATTTGTAGGATATATAAATATTAATCTTTTAAGCTAATAATTCTCTTAAATATGGTGAAACACATCATTGAATTGAAGCCACTGAAATCAAAGGAAAACCAAGTAGATTAGGAACAGACATTAGCAAATGGGTCAGAAGGTCGTGTGGCATATGACCAGCGCTTATAGAGTGTGGGTGGGTCTTTGGGGTAAGGCAGCTGGTTAAGAGCAATTCTCAGAGACAAATTCCACAGAAATCTGGAGGAGGGAGTCAGTCTAAGAAGTGGTCTCTTTAAACCAAATGAGATGTGAAGATGGAAAATATGTAGGGAAAGAGTTGAGGTTAGACTTTTTTAAAGAAATAGTGTATTTATTCTCGATGGTGGTTAGCTAATTAAAGAGAGTTCAAAATTCAGTCTTCTCTAGAGACTATTTCAATAGTCCCCAAAGTTTTGCATAACCATGATATTATATAAATGTATGAACATATTTTTATCTGCTCACATAAAACATAAACCATATTACAAAGCAATATAAACTCCAAAATGTGCAAAAATGATCTGAACCTTGAGAAGACACCTAATTCCACATTCAAACAAAAATCTCACATTCCAACAATAAACTAAACTATATCATTTATGCTGTACTTTTGACTGCTGTTGTAGAAAACCAGCATAAAAGTGACTTAAACAATATCTTTATGCTCACATACACGTAATAATTGGGTATAAAGAGTTCTGGACCAATATGTAGCCTCTATGTTTTCAAAACCCTAGGCTTCTTTGATCTAACTGCTCTACCACCTTGATCCCTTATTGATAGTCAAGTCAATAGTACAGTGGGAAAAAGAGAGAGTACAGGGTTGGACACACTCCTATGTAAAGGCAGAACCCAGACGGGACACACTTCTTTTTCTCTCATATTTCATGTGCTAGACTTTAGTTGCATGGCCACACCTAGCAATAAGGGCTGAGAAATGGAGCCTGTATTCTGGATAAGCAGGTGTCTGCTAAAAATTCTATTATCAAAGAAGGAGAAATTTTATAATGAGGGCTAACTCATAACATTAAATATGTTGAAGAACAACACCCTTCCATAAATATATTCGAGTATATAATGGCATGTCGTGAAAGGAATAAACAGGCTGCTATATGTTCTGTGGTATTTTCTATAAATACTTGATTTAATTTCACACTACAGAATATCTTTCTGTGTTAAGAAACAATTCAAAGTGATATTGACCAAATGCTGCACTTTTTTTGTGGAAAACTTCCCAGGAGCAAAACATTATACTGTACTTTATCTCTGGACAAATGTAATACATTAATTAGAAATGACTGATAAAATCAAGGATGTTCTCCTTACCTTATCTCCAAAATATGTATAAATTCAGGAAAAGTGCACTCATACTTGAAATGACCTTCTCATTCCTTTCTATGACCTTCTTGTTTTTTTCTGTCCCCTGAATGCCTATGTGGGAGCCTTGTAGCATGAGGAGGCTGTCATTGACCGATGGGTGACATAAAGAACATAGTAAATTACGCAAAAGATAGAATGGACAAAGATAGGAAGCCAGCTGGAAGAATATAAAAGGGAAGGAAAAGATTGTCTAAGAAATAAAAAACGAAAGGATGGATAAGCTAAGGCCCTAAGATATGTTGAATGAAAGCAAGGACTGGTGGGAGAATTAGAGTTTGTTAATAAGCCTAGTATCATT